ATGAGTGGGCAATCATGTGTGCATGGGTGGGTGGGTTGGTGGGTGGGTGCGTTTGTGAGAGGGTTCTGTTTCTGTAAGTTTGGTGCGAACCCGAGCTGCACCTTTGCTTCGGAAGAGAAGGGGACGATGTTCGTTGCTGCATTACCTGCGCCTTCTTGCGTGTCTCCTCCCCCTCCTCCCCCTTTCCCATCTCCTCTTCCCTCAAATCTACGTTTGTTAGGGTTGGTTCGATGAACCACGAAACCTACGGCGAGATGCGGAATGACGGCGGAATGGAGTGCGTGGGAGATTTTAGATCTAAGACGGTGGAAATCGACCTACGGTGGAGAATAGAAGCTACGGCGTGAGAAGCGGGAAGGAAATCGAGAAGGAATGTGCAGGAAGGAGGAATAGAGAAGGAGAGAGATCGACGGGGGAAATTGTGGTTCAAGCTTGAGGCGCGTTCGAGAAGGTTCGAGATTCGGACTCAAGAAATGTTCGGTGCATTCGGTTCGGTTCCGTGTGCGACTCGGGGTGAAACGAGGCACACGCGGTTACTTGGGAAACAAGTGAAGTTACGAATCGCATTTTGTGTCTTGCCTGACCATAAAACTGCTTGTACTCATTCTGGAAATCACAACATTGGACAACATTGAGATTCTGAAAATTGCTGAAGTGTGTATTGACAACTTCAAGCAGAGCTGCGCATATCGTTGGATTCGTGAGATCGTGGAGAACACGATAAGCAATAGCAAGTAGACTATTGCCGACTAAGGTGCTTACGATCCTAAGAACTGGTATCAGAGCTTGGCGAACAGGCGCGTCGATCGTCGTGAATTCACTTGGTGCGCTAAGTGAAATTAGTGGAGAAGAGGAGTCGTTCACGCCTACGCTATGGGAGACGAGGCGAGTTCGGGTTCCAGTGTGAGTCTTGGAGACCCGCAGTTGAAGGCTCTTCTCGAGGCCCTTGCGAGTGGCCGATTGGTGGCGAAACCGACGATCGGGCTCAGTGAAGCCCAGCGCTTCAACGGAAGCAACTACAACGTGTGGCGGAAGAAGTTCATTCGGAGGGCAGAGGAGGTTGACCTCTTGCCTTACTACCGTCCCGACGAGGAGACGATGGAGGGAGTTGCGCCTTCCACGACGGATACGAAGGAGAAAATAGCGGCGTTCAAAAAACAAAGTAAGCAAGCGTTCTTTCAGCTTTGTCACTCAGTTGCCGATGGAATCGCGGTGGATTTGGACCAGTTTGCAGGGGAGCTGAACTCTGCACAGAAAGCATGGGAGTACCTGGAGTCCACGTACATGGGCACCAACGATGTCAACAAGAAGGCGATCAGGAAGCAGCTGCTGATGCTGAGCATGGAGAAAGGCGAGAAAATCATCACCTACATCAACAGGGCGAAAAGCTACAACGACGATTTGCGGGTGATGGGAGCCGCGGAGACGGAGCATGAGATGATTGACTATATCATCCAAGGCCTTCCTAAGGAGTGGGAATCCGACATCGGTATGTTTACGTACCAACCGCCGGAGAGTTTGACGAAGCTGCAGGAGATTCTACAGTCGCTTGAGACGATGAAGGAGATGAGGAAAAAGAAAGCGGCAGCAGCAGCGGAATTAGACGAGGAGAGGTCGGCTATGGTGAATGCGACAAAGGCGTTTGGAGTGTGCTACCAGTGTGGAAAGAGGGGGCATAAGGCGATATACTGCTACGAAAATCCGCGAAGCAGGAACTACAAAGGCAAAGCGTTGGAGAACGATAAAGGAGAAAATGGGGGAGCGGAGTGGCAGCAGAAACGGGGTTTTGGCGGCAAGTGCGACTATTGTGGGCGCTATGGACATCGTGCCGCAGAGTGCTACTCCAACCCGAATAGCAGGAGCTACAAGGGTCCGTTGCAGCAGAGGAATGTGGCGGCAAAGGCGAATGTAGCAGAAGCGGAAAAGGAAGATGTGATTTTTGGAGGAGCGCATCTTGCGAACGTGGTGCGTTTACCAAAGGAGGTTCGGCAGACGGACGATCGTGAGAAGACGGCATGGTTCATGGACAGCGGATGCACGCGTCACATGACATTCAGGTCAGATTGGATGGAGAATGTGAGGGACTCGAGTGAGGATTATATACTGCAAGGTAACAGCGGGAAGTTGCCAGTGACAGGAGAGGGTGACGTGGTGCTGCAGAGTCCGTATGGAGAGGTGAAACTGGACAGTGTGCTGCTGGTTGAGGATTTAAAGATGGATTTGGTCAGTCAGTCACAGCTTGATGACTTGGGGTGCAAGATATTTTATGACAGTGGAAAGGTTACAATGTTTGGCCCAGAGTGGGAGAAGTACGCAGAGGGTTACTTCAGTGACGGATTTTATGAGATGAACGTGATAGCGACGAATGATATGGATGAGATCTATGAGGATCCTGAGTATGGTGAAATGGGAGAATTGGAGAAGTTATCGACTAAGGTTGATGAGAGTGAGGACACGGATGATACGGCAGCGAGTGTGGAGGCAGCAGTGAAGCAGAAAGAGGAGATAGTCGCCATGGAGGCAGCAGCAGTGAATGGTGGAGATGGAGTTGGTGTCAACACTTTTGCAGCAGCGATCGTGGTTGAAGATGAAGCAGTAAATGAGAAGTATATGGGAGTTGAAGCTGTGAAAGGGGACATCCTGGTGAAGGGATCAAAGGAGAAAGCAACTGCAAAGGGGCGAGTGCTTACGAAGGAGGAACACGTTGAGGGGTACGAGACCCGAGAGGTGTTGGGTGTTAAGATGCCGAGGAGAAGTGAGAGGCTTAAGAAAATGTCTCAAGGTTTGGACGTCAAGGAGAGGTTCAAGGTGGAGGACCTGCAGGAGAGCTTGAAGCCGACTTAGACCCTGTGAAGGCTACAAGAAGCAGGGGAGGAGTGCGAGTGGAGTTCGTGGTTGACGAACCACAGGGGAGATTGTTAGGGTTGGTTCGATGAACCACGAAACCTACGGCGAGATGCGGAATGACAGCGGAATGGAGTGCGTGGGAGATTTTAGATCTAAGACGGTGGAAATCGACCTACGGTGGAGAATAGAAGCTACGGCGTGAGAAGCGGGAAGGAAATCGAGAAGGAATGTGCAGGAAGGAGGAATAGAGAAGGAGAAGCATCGAGAATGAGATCGACGGGGGAAATTGTGGTTCAAGCTTGAGGCGCGTTCGAGAAGGTTCGAGATTCGGACTCAAGAAATGTTCGGTGCATTCGGTTCGGTTCCGTGTGCGACTCGGGGTGAAACGAGGCACACGCGGTTACTTGGGAAACAAGTGAAGTTACGAATCGCATTTTGTGTCTTGCCTGACCATAAAACTGCTTGTACTCATTCTGGAAATCACAACATTGGACAACATTGAGATTCTGAAAATTGCTGAAGTGTGTATTGACAACTTCAAGCAGAGCTGCGCATATCGTTGGATTCGTGAGATCGTGGAGAACACGATAAGCAATAGCAAGTAGACTATTGCCGACTAAGGTGCTTACGATCCTAAGAACTGGTATCAGAGCTTGGCGAACAGGCGCGTCGATCGTCGTGAATTCACTTGGTGCGCTAAGTGAAATTAGTGGAGAAGAGGAGTCGTTCACGCCTACGCTATGGGAGACGAGGCGAGTTCGGGTTCCAGTGTGAGTCTTGGAGACCCGCAGTTGAAGGCTCTTCTCGAGGCCCTTGCGAGTGGCCGATTGGTGGCGAAACCGACGATCGGGCTCAGTGAAGCCCAGCGCTTCAACGGAAGCAACTACAACGTGTGGCGGAAGAAGTTCATTCGGAGGGCAGAGGAGGTTGACCTCTTGCCGTACTACCGTCCCGACGAGGAGACGATGGAGGGAGTTGCGCCTTCCACGACGGATACGAAGGAGAAAATAGCGGCGTTCAAAAAACAAAGTAAGCAAGCGTTCTTTCAGCTTTGTCACTCAGTTGCCGATGGAATCGCGGTGGATTTGGACCAGTTTGCAGGGGAGCTGAACTCTGCACAGAAAGCATGGGAGTACCTGGAGTCCACGTACATGGGCACCAACGATGTCAACAAGAAGGCGATCAGGAAGCAGCTGCTGATGCTGAGCATGGAGAAAGGCGAGAAAATCATCACCTACATCAACAGGGCGAAAAGCTACAACGACGATTTGCGGGTGATGGGAGCCGCGGAGACGGAGCATGAGATGATTGACTATATCATCCAAGGCCTTCCTAAGGAGTGGGAATCCGACATCGGTATGTTTACGTACCAACCGCCGGAGAGTTTGACGAAGCTGCAGGAGATTCTACAGTCGCTTGAGACGATGAAGGAGATGAGGAAAAAGAAAGCGGCAGCAGCAGCGGAATTAGACGAGGAGAGGTCGGCTATGGTGAATGCGACAAAGGCGTTTGGAGTGTGCTACCAGTGTGGAAAGAGGGGGCATAAGGCGATATACTGCTACGAAAATCCGCGAAGCAGGAACTACAAAGGCAAAGCGTTGGAGAACGATAAAGGAGAAAATGGGGGAGCGGAGTGGCAGCAGAAACGGGGTTTTGGCGGCAAGTGCGACTATTGTGGGCGCTATGGACATCGTGCCGCAGAGTGCTACTCCAACCCGAATAGCAGGAGCTACAAGGGTCCGTTGCAGCAGAGGAATGTGGCGGCAAAGGCGAATGTAGCAGAAGCGGAAAAGGAAGATGTGATTTTTGGAGGAGCGCATCTTGCGAACGTGGTGCGTTTACCAAAGGAGGTTCGGCAGACGGACGATCGTGAGAAGACGGCATGGTTCATGGACAGCGGATGCACGCGTCACATGACATTCAGGTCAGATTGGATGGAGAATGTGAGGGACTCGAGTGAGGATTATATACTGCAAGGTAACAGCGGGAAGTTGCCAGTGACAGGAGAGGGTGACGTGGTGCTGCAGAGTCCGTATGGAGAGGTGAAACTGGACAGTGTGCTGCTGGTTGAGGATTTAAAGATGGATTTGGTCAGTCAGTCACAGCTTGATGACTTGGGGTGCAAGATATTTTATGACAGTGGAAAGGTTACAATGTTTGGCCCAGAGTGGGAGAAGTACGCAGAGGGTTACTTCAGTGACGGATTTTATGAGATGAACGTGATAGCGACGAATGATATGGATGAGATCTATGAGGATCCTGAGTATGGTGAAATGGGAGAATTGGAGAAGTTATCGACTAAGGTTGATGAGAGTGAGGACACGGATGATACGGCAGCGAGTGTGGAGGCAGCAGTGAAGCAGAAAGAGGAGATAGTCGCCATGGAGGCAGCAGCAGTGAATGGTGGAGATGGAGTTGGTGTCAACACTTTTGCAGCAGCGATCGTGGTTGAAGATGAAGCAGTAAATGAGAAGTATATGGGAGTTGAAGCTGTGAAAGGGGACATCCTGGTGAAGGGATCAAAGGAGAAAGCAACTGCAAAGGGGCGAGTGCTTACGAAGGAGGAACACGTTGAGGGGTACGAGACCCGAGAGGTGTTGGGTGTTAAGATGCCGAGGAGAAGTGAGAGGCTTAAGAAAATGTCTCAAGGTTTGGACGTCAAGGAGAGGTTCAAGGTGGAGGACCTGCAGGAGAGCTTGAAGCCGACTTAGACCCTGTGAAGGCTACAAGAAGCAGGGGAGGAGTGCGAGTGGAGTTCGTGGTTGACGAACCACAGGGGAGATTGTTAGGGTTGGTTCGATGAACCACGAAACCTACGGCGAGATGCGGAATGACAGCGGAATGGAGTGCGTGGGAGATTTTAGATCTAAGACGGTGGAAATCGACCTACGGTGGAGAATAGAAGCTACGGCGTGAGAAGCGGGAAGGAAATCGAGAAGGAATGTGCAGGAAGGAGGAATAGAGAAGGAGAAGCATCGAGAATGAGATCGACGGGGGAAATTGTGGTTCAAGCTTGAGGCGCGTTCGAGAAGGTTCGAGATTCGGACTCAAGAAATGTTCGGTGCATTCGGTTCGGTTCCGTGTGCGACTCGGGGTGAAACGAGGCACACGCGGTTACTTGGGAAACAAGTGAAGTTACGAATCGCATTTTGTGTCTTGCCTGACCATAAAACTGCTTGTACTCATTCTGGAAATCACAACATTGGACAACATTGAGATTCTGAAAATTGCTGAAGTGTGTATTGACAACTTCAAGCAGAGCTGCGCATATCGTTGGATTCGTGAGATCGTGGAGAACACGATAAGCAATAGCAAGTAGACTATTGCCGACTAAGGTGCTTACGATCCTAAGAACTGGGCAGTTTTATAGTCAACCAAGGTACCCTCCTCCCCCTTTCCCATCTCCTCTTCCCTCAAATCTACGTTTTCTTCAACAGAGACGTTTTCCAGGCCACACACGCTGCCTGCGCTTATCCCTTCATTTTCCCTCCTGCCTCATTGTCTTTTCGCTCCAATCCCCTCATTCGTCCCCCCCTGCTGTCTCATCACCTTTTCCCTTATCCCCAGGCAAGTGAATTGGGCATAGAAAGAGTTTCTAGACAGCCCGCGCTGCCTGCGCCTTCGAACAGCAGCCAATCGCCTCGAGCCGTGGCTGTTCGTCCGGGCAGTCGGGCAGCCGAGGAAACATTTCGAGTGTCATGCATTCGCAGAGAGCGCTGGATGGCAAAAGATCCCCCACCCACGTGGCACTAACAACAGCCAATGGGAAGCCTCGGGAGTGGGGTGTGTGAGCCTTGACAGATGTCTCTACATGATTGGAGGAACAGGTTCTGACCGCAAAAATCCATTGGCTGACACTTTTCAGGTGCGAAGCAAAGAAAATATTTGCACCAATCAGGTGCGATTTGTGTGTGTCCGGGCTCTCAACAAAATGCTGAGGTTGTAACTGGATTTCGTTCAATGCGTAATGCCCTCCGTTTTTTTTAGCAGATCTTGCTTTCCACTCGGCTGCATTTGGTCGCTGAATTTTGCGGTGACATCCTCCTCTTCCCCGTCTTCCTTTTATTTGTTGGCATTATTTCCTTTGTGCTGTAGCGCCCTTGGCATGCTTTGGTACCGCTTTGCAAATCTTGTATTCTTTCGTTCTCCCAAACCCCCCCCCCACCCTCTCCCCAAGTCCTCTTCCCCTTCCCCCCATCCGCAAATTCAGGTACGACCCTCAAACTGCCCGCTGGACCCAGTTGGCCAACCTCATCATTCCCCGCAGCTTTTTTGGCTCCTGGGCTGCCCGTGGAAAAATAATAGTGGCAGGAGGCAATGCAGCAGAGCTCGAGGAGATCAAATCAGCTGAAGTCTATCAACCAGAGACTGACACGTGGCAGTCCATCCCACCATTGCCTTTGGCGTTTTCCAGCTTTGGGGCGGCGAGTTATGGAGGGACCCTCTTCCTGACGGAAGGGTGGCAGTGGCCGTTTCACTTCTCGCCCCGTGGGTATTCCTGTCCCCTTTATAAGCTCATTCAGGAAGAGGAAGGGGAAGGGCTTACAAGGCAAAGGAGACACGGGGGTGCTTTGATTGGCCGGGGGCTGGGAGAAGGTGAGGGAAGAAGAGGAGAGGGGCAAGGGGGAGGTAGTGGGGGAGGGGGGGGGTGGAGGGGAAGCAAGCAGGACAGGAGAAAACCTTGGACCCGAGGGCCTGGGGGAGGGACAGGGCGGGGCGGAGGGACAAGGCGTGGGGCAAGGCGTGGGGCAAGGCGTGGGGCAAGGCGTGGGGCAAGGCGTGGGGCAAGGCGTGGGGCAAGGCGTGGGGCGGAGTGGACTTGCAGCAGTGTGGGAGCCGATGCCAGAGGGCATGGCGGAGGGATGGACAGGAGTGAGTGCTGTGGTGCATGACACGCTTGTCACTCTCGTGCAGGAGGGGAAGACCCGCAGGTGCGTGTCAGAGAAACAAGGCGGTGGTGTGCGGTGCTGGCGGGTGGCATGAGAGGTGTGGTCTTATCTTGGTTGTCTGCATGGACAGGCATGGGTGCAGTGGAGCATGCCACACTCGACACTGTCACGTAGGAGGTGCAGACTCCCAGATGAGAGGTCGTTCACGAATTACATGGCCTTACGTATCAGCCCAGCAAATCATTCTACTCCTCTCACTGGGATTTCGTCCTGTCCTCACAACCCCATCTTTGTTACCCTCAGCTCACTACTTCCCATACCCTCTCCCCCTTTCCCCTCGTCCCCACTCTTCTCCCGCATTCCAATCCCCCTTCCTCCTGTGCTTCCTTGCTGCCAGCCTTTTTTCCTACTGCCCGGAAATCGACAAGTGGCAGCAGGTCATTGGCCCTCCTTTGCCGCTCTTCCTACACCCACCTCTGCGCATGGCTGTGTGTGGTAACAGTTGTCTTTTTGTGGTAGGCCGGGGTTTGGAGGTGGTGATGGGGAGGATAAGCAAGGAAGGTGGGTGGGGACTGTGCAGGAAAGGGAGTTTTTTGGATGTGGAGCAGGAGGATTGGGAGAAATTAGGCAGAGAAATTAGTGAGGTTGAATCGCAACGGTTAGTTGAAGAGAGAGAGCGAAGGGCATATAACAGTGCATACAAAAAGCAAGAGCTTAGGGTTGATTGGTTGCAGCTGGGGAGAGATCTGGCCCTTTCCAAGCTTGTTCCGGATGCTCTTGTTGTCGTGGCGATGTGAATAAATGCAAATGTCACAGCATGGCAATTATGGAAAATCACTCCTTATCAAACCGAGTCTATGTCGAGTATGTTGCAATTTGATTGGGTCCCGCCGTGCCATGGCTAGCCTGGTTTGGTTAGGAATGCAGAATGGAAGCCTACCGTCAGCTCCTGACGGCAAAACAAGCCCCGAACCGACACGGCAGTACAAAAAAAAAATCGGGCTTGTGTCACCACCACAGTTGCCCAGAAGCTTCTCGTGCCAGCTAGGGGCGTGTCGCGTTCCCCACACGCGTGCTGTATGAAGCATCTCCACTCCACAACCATACAGTTCGCCAAACTGCAGCCGACAGATTTGCCAGGAGTGTTATGGAAACGTCAACTTTGAACGATATCAACAAACTGCAAGCCGACAGACGCGCCCTTCAAACAAACTTCCGGGCAGCTCTACAGCTGCTCGCATCCACCAATACAGACCTCACTACCCGTTGCCTCGTAAAATACTTTCTTGGACGCTTTCCTCTTTTGGGCAGCATTTCAGGAACCTACGGGTTTGACACATCACTACCAGTGTTTCGTCTGCTACCACACCCACACCCACGCTGCCCGTGGCAATAGAATCAGAGCTATGTCGACCAGCTTCCTCACCGCCGCCATCTCCTGCTACAGTACTTCCCTCCACTTCAGTCACAAGAGTCTACCAAGGAGGACCTTCCGAAACGTCGCGGGCAGGCGAAATTGCGTGCGGAGCCACTCGTCCATCCACCGACGAAAATCTGAACCACTCCGGAAGGAGAGAAATCCGCGCATCGACCAATCAGGTTCCGAACGTCAGTCTGTCAAACTGCAACTACAAAATCCTTCCACATCTTCTTCCTCTCCATCAGAGATTTGCGGGTCTTCCATTTCATCCCACAGGTTCTCCCTCACTCACATCCATTCCAGATAGTATTTTTTCACCTTCATTCCTCTCCAATATCCCTTCTTCCTCATCACTTTCTTGAACCTTTGTCTCATTTCCGCACCTTACCCTAGCCTCCGCCGTCCATCTCCATCACCAACCGCACTCTCCACCCACGCTCCACTGCCCATTCCGCATCACTCGCTACCATCCCAAAGAAACCACATCAACACCACTCCATCATGGGTGCTACTGACGCCGCTACCCAGCAGTCCGTTGCCGTTTCCACCTCGGCATCCGAGCCTTGGGAAGATGCGATGCGGGCTGAGCTTGCCGCGTGGTTCCAAAATTTCGACTGGGTCGACGAGACGCCGTTAATGACGGTTTCCGTCGGATCTAACGCCCTCTGTCAACTCGACGGAGTCGCGACCGTCGGCCTTCCCCCGGACACGGTCTTCTCCATAGTATGCGACCCGCAAAACAGCCGCGTATTCAGGAACATTAAGTCTGTTAAGAACGAGCGGGTGATAAGTGACAATAACGGGGTGAAGGAGCTCGAGATGGACATGATATTCGCCTTCCAACTGCCATTCTTTACAGGCACATTCGACGCGCACATGCGCATGGTGCACGATCGCCCGAACCGCAAAATGTCCTTCGAACTAGCGCGCCCCGGCCTCATGCGCAAGTTCGAGGGCTTCTGGCAGGTCGAGCCGCTCGTTGTCCCCGCTTCCGCCACTTCCGCCTCCGCCGCCTCCGCCCCCTCCACCATTTCCGCAACTTCCTCCGCTTCCGCCGATTCCGACACCGCTTCCGCTCCGCCCTCCCCGCTCTCCGATACCTTCCATCCGGCCAGCGACTGGGACAGCAGCAGCGCCTGCAGCAGCCCGGAGCGCGATGTCGCCGCAGATTCCGCCGCAGATCTCGCTGCGAAGACGACGAAGACGAGCGCGACGACCCCGTCCGACGGCGCGCGCGTGGCGTCGCGGCTCGTGCTGCATCAGGTGGTGCAGCCGTCCGTCGCGCCGCCCGACCTTTTCAAGCGGTGCATTCACATCGTTCTGCAGATGGCTACTAAAGACGTCCTTAAAGTGTTCCAGCGCGAAGCCGCAACGATTAGGAACAGCAACGGGCAGGAGCAGGAGACGCAGGGAGGAGAGGAGAAGAAAAAGAAGAAGCAAGGCGCTGACGTAAAGGCCGCGGCTGTTGCGGGGGGCGTGGCCGGCGCGGTGGCCGGCGCGGTTGCGGGAGCTGCTGCTGGCGTCGCTGTCGCGAAGAATGCCGATTCCATCAGGCTCGCGTCGCGCGTGTGGGGGCTTGTTAAGGGCAAAGCTTAAGGCGATGAGAAGGGATCACAGACAAGGGAGGACGAAGGGATCACAATGTTCGTGACAGTCTCTTGAGAGTCTATGGCTTACACGGGCGAAGTGTGGAGACGCGAAGCAGAGTCGGCAGGCTAACAAGGCTTTTGTTCCTTGCTGCCGCTGCGGATTCTCTGGTTGCACGGTACGCGCGCCGACGCCATTTGAGAAACTGCTGGAGACTTGTGCCTCGAAGTTGCTGGGCAGTTCTGAAGGCGGGCTAGGGTATCTGCAGGTGTTGAGAAAAAGTGTGGCAGGTGTTGAGAAAAAGTGTGGGTAGTTAGCTGGGCTTGGTTTGGTTTGGTTTGGGCATAAGGTTGAGTAGGGTTCAATGCTTTGGGATGCCTCTAGACAGAATGGCACCCCAAACCTTTGAACCTTGACTTATAAACTTCTGTAGTATTTCCTAGCAGCTGTTGAGTTAACATTTCTACTATAAATGCAATGCAGGTTCTTGTCAATAGTTGAACTGTGCTCCCAACACTACCGTATTACTGCAAGAAGCCCAGGGGTAGTTTGATAGAAGAATCATCAAATATAAAATTTGCCTGACACCACCCAACTTGAGACCTCTACCATACCTCTCTACTCCGAGCGTTATCACACGACACCCTAAGTGTATATCCGCGAGTTTACTGTACCACTGCCCTTGACCTGAATTCAATAGCCAACCTCATGAGTCCTATCATAGCTCCTAGCCCTTCCAACACAGGTGGCCTTACTTAAACCGCACTCCACCATTACTGATCACTATCAGCCGCTCTCCACTGTTGGTTTAGGCTCATGGCAACAGCACTGTTGGAGGGGTCGAGGAGGGAGAGCAGAGAAGACCTAACAAGTCCTCCTTGGTCATACCTCACCACTGCCCTCTACCACTCGTGAGCGCTCTCCACCACTCTCCACCGCTCTCACCCCAAGGCAACAAGAGCCGTGTTGGGGTGGTTGAGGCTTATGGCAACAGTGCGGTTGGAGGGGCCGAGGCGGGAGAGCAGGTGCGGGCCAGCCACCCACAGCTTCTCCCCTCAACCCATGCTCCCATACTGCAATATCCTTACTCTAACCCATCCCTTATCCCCCACCTCTCTCTGCCCAACCAACACAAATACCAACGGTGCACCTTCTGCTGCTGCTCCTCCTGCTACTCCTCCTCCCCCCCCTCCTCCTCCTGCTCCTCCTGCTGTTATCACCCTAGAGCAGCAAGCGCCTTATTGAGGCGGTTAAGGCTCGTTGCGACAGCGCGGTTGGAGGGGTCGAGGCGGGAGAGCAAACGCAGGTCAGCCACGCCCAGCTTGTACTTCTCCATCGCCTCGTACAGACACGCCCTCTGCATCAGCACTGCCGTGTTCTCTGGCTCGAGTTCAAGGACCTGGGGGAGCGAGAGAGTCAGAAGAGGAGAGTGAAGAGGGGGAATAGTGGGTAAGGGTCTCGAAGGGAGAGCAGGCGCAGGTCAGCCACGCCCAGCTTGTACTTCTCCATCGCCTCGTACAGGCACGCCCTCTGCATCAGCACTGCCGTGTTCTCTGGCTCTAGCTCCAAAACCTGAAGGGTGAGAGAGTGGGGAAGTGGATCAGAGGTCAGCCACGCCCAGCTTGTACTTCTCCATCGCCTCGTACAGACATGCTCGTTGCATCAACACCGCCGTATTCTCTGGCTCTAACTCGAGCACCTGAGTGATTTGAAGGGCAGAAGGAGGGACAAGACAAGAGTGGGTAAGGGTAGGCAATGCAGGGGGAGCAGGCGCAGGTCAGCCACGCCCAGCTTGTACTTCTCCATCGCCTCGTACAGGCATGCCCTCTGCATCAACACCGCCGCATTGTTGGAATTGATTTTTTAGTCGACTAAAAAACAACACGAGTCGACTCAAGAACCACCTGAGTCGACTAAAAACCACCCGAGTCGACTAAAAACCACCCATGTCGACTCAAAAACCACCTGAGTCGACTAAAAAACCACCTGAGTCGACTAAAAAACCACCTGAGTCGACTAAAAAACCACTTGAGTCGACTAAAAAACCACCTGAGTCGACTCAAAAACCACCTGACTCGACTCAAAAACCACCTGAGTCGACTCAAAAACCACCTGAGTCGACTCAAAAACTACCTGAGTCGACTCAAAAACCACCTAAGTTGACTAAAAAACCACCTGAATCGACTAAAAAATCATCTCCATTTCATTGCCTCGTACAGGCATGCCCTCTGCATCAACAACATGGCCGTACGAGGACACGGTCCTAGAGCTCAAAATATTGTTGGAATTTGAGCTCTAGGACCTTGGGGGTTGAGAGGGAGGAGATGTGTGCGATGGAGAAGGGGAGGAGAGATAATAGAGCCTCAGACACACACTTGGACCCTTGCCCGGTCACAGCTCATACTTGGGCGCCCGCGCAGTCAGCACAACCCTGTCCTGTCCTTCAGTCAATAGTGCCCCTCTATCCCCATTCACCCCCCACACCGACTCACCTTACTGCAGTCAGCAACTGCTTTCTTCATCTCGCCAGCCTCCTTGTAGCACGACGCGCGTGCACTCAGCACAGCCACCAGCACCAGCACCACTGTGCCTATAGAGTCCACTCACAACTTGCCCCCGTTATAACCCCACACTCACCTTGCTGCAATCTGCCACAGCTTTTTTCATCTCGCCAGCCTCCTTGTAGCACGATGCTCTCGCACTCAGCACCGCCACCAGCCCCTCCCCCCCAGCCTCCCCCCCTCTCTCCGCCAGCTGCTCCGCCCACACCAGCCACTTGATCGCATCCGCAAACTGCCCTCCTTTGTAAAACTCCGTCCCCTTATTGAGCGCAGCGTTATAAGACACTCCCGGTGGCGGCGGCCCGAGACCTTCTAGCTCTACGGTTGTTTCTGTCGAGGCGGAAGCAGAAGCATCCCCGAAACTTCCCCAGTCGCCCGCGTCTTGGTTCCCGAAATCAACACCACCTGCGCTCGCTCCAAAGAAACTGCTGCTGCTGTCACTGTTGGCCGCTGCGAAACCACCAGCAGCAGAACCGGCACCGGCACCACCACCAGCAGAACCAGCAGTAGAGGTACCAGAACCAGCAGAAGCAGCAGTGGGCTTGGGGTTGAAAAGCATGTCTACAAGCGGGTCGAATGACCCTGACGCAGCAGCAGATGGCTGCGAGCTGCTGCGGGGCTGTGAATTCCCAAAGTTGGATGAGAAGGCAGCGAAGGGATCAGCAGCCGCAGCGGCAGCAGCAGAGGCAGCAGGAGCAGGAGCAGGAGCAGGGGCAGCAGAGGAGGCAGCGGCGCGTGGGGCGGGAAACGAAGCGGAGAAGTTTGCAAACGGGTCTGCTGCAGACGCGGATGAGGCTCTAGATCCTCCTCCCCCTGCCATGCTGCTGCTACTGCTGCTGCTGCTACTGCTGTTCATGTTGCCAGCGTTACCACCACCGCTGCCACTGCTACTGGTGGCGGTGGCGAAAGGGTCGGGCCAGGAAGCAGCAAACGGATTGCCAGATGCAGCAGAGGAAGCAGAAGTGGCAGAGGCGGCAGATGGGGCAGAGGCGCGCATAGAAGGGCCTCCAACGCTGCCCCTCATGGGTTGACCGCCTAAACCACCACCTAACCCACCGCCACCACCAATCCCACCACCACTCCCGCCACCACCGCCAATCCCACCACCACCCATTCCGAATCCTGCTCCTGATCCTGACCCTAATCCGGCACTGAACCCGCCTCCTGCCCCGCCTGTTCCTGACACACTAGCTTTGGGAACGGAGCTTCGTAAATCGCCCATACCAAACGGATCAAACCCTCCACCTCCCCCTCCGCCTCCCCCTCCCGCTCCCCCTCCAACTCCCCCTCCGCCTCCGCTTCCCCCGAATCTACCTCCCCCAGATGCCCCTCCCGCGCTGTCCCTAGACGCGCCATACGCTGACGTGGACGCGCCGTACGCTGACGTGGACGATGACGTGGACGACGCCCCCGGTCGCGCGGAGGCAGTGGCGCTGCTCCACAGGCTCGCGAACACGTCATCCGCCTTGCTGGCAGCTGCTGCTGCTGACGCACCAGATGACGACAGCGAGGAGTTAAGAGGTTTCGCATTCATTCCCCCCATTCCCATCCCCATCCCCATCCCCATCCCCCCATATCCGCTCCCCCCGCTCCCCATCCCCGACTGCCCCAGAGGCACCCAGCTAGGCCCGCCCCCACTTCCCCCTTGCCTCTGCGCCTGCCCCTGCGCCTGCCCCTGCGCATAGGAGCTGGCGGAGGCGGGGGACGCGCGCGCTGCTCCCCCTCCGCCTCCGCCTGTGGACCACGAGGTTGCGCCCTGCGCGTAGCCGCCCCCCGCGCCTGGTCGCCCTCCACCACCCTGAGCGAAAGGGGGAAAGATTGGGTGGAGGGTACGGAGGGGGGCGGAGGGGGCAGAGGTAGCGGAGGGAGGCGGGGGGGTGGGCGGAGGCGGGTGGAGGAACGGGGAGGGGGGCGGAGAGCAGGAGAAATGGGGGTGAGCGGAGAAGGTGAGAGAGATACTAGAAGACGGGCAATTGCTGCAGTCCTTCTCTCTTTGAGCTCAACGACTCCTCTTTCTCTCTTCTCGCCTCAAGAATCGCTTGCTGCAGTCCTTCTTCCTTTGGGTTGACGACTTCTAAGGCGCCTCTAGAATCTCTTGCTGTCCTCCCGCTCCCATTCGGAGAACGCTCAGAGTCTCCAATGGATCGTTCTGAATCGCTCTGCATCGTTTCGCACCATTTTGCTCAGAATGTGCATCACCGAAACCGCTGCGCTCACAGACCACCTGTTTGTTTGACTTTTTTTTTTTTTTTTTTTTTCCTTCTCGAAAATTCCGCATTGATTTGACTCACCAAACCGCCACCGAGCTTCTGGTCCTTGAGGCTGCCGCCTGCCGTTCCCAACCGACCTCCACCCCCTCCAATGCTTGATCCAGACGACACCCCAAGGTCGAAGTCGAATTGGAAGTTCTGAAACAAAGATTCAGAGTAGATTTGAGGGTTGCATTTATTCTACAAATTCTTAATAATCGTTCCCAACCGACCTCCACCTCTTCCGATGCCGGATGAAGACGAAACCCCAAAATCAAAGTCGAATCGAAAGTTTCGAGACACAGATTCAGAGTGGAAGCGAAGTTTGCGAGTGAAAAAAAAAAGAGATGAGGATCGCGAGCGATAAGCGGAACCGGGGGAATGAAAAGACGAAGGGACGCGAATCGACAGACGAGCTTATGTGAGGCCAGAGTACATAGTAAGTGAACCGCGTAAGTGAATCGCAATGAGAGCACGAACCAGGATGCAAGCGTCCGCGGTATATGATTCGGCTCAAGATTTCAAAGGTGACCATCTATGTGCCGCATGGACTAAATCATAATTACAATCTGACAATATCTGCATCCATACGATTTGCCTGTGTTGTGACACACTGTAGCTGTCGATACAAGCCCCGCAAACTTTAGATGGAGAAATGGCTTCAGTCAGTTGTAGGCTGGTTCAGATTCGCATTTACGATTGTCGAGCCTCTCAGTCAGCTTGAAACTGCCTTGTCACCGAAACGAGGCGACTACCAGATTACTCAAAAGTCACATGAAACGAGCGTCGCACCTTGAAAGTCGTCGCCGCATTGACCATGTTGGCCTTGCGGCTGTCGTTCGCACCGCCGTTCATGCCGGCAACCACACAACCGGTTTCAATCCGTTTCAGCCGGTCTCAACCAGTCTCAACCTTGAGGACGCAGAGGAAACCAAAAGGTGACGGTGACTAAGCACGGTCCGCCTTAATCTCTGGTGTCAGGCACGTACGGACAGCCTTGATGAAATAGAGGCGGCGAAACTCTACAGAAACCTGAGCACCGTCGCTGTCGACCGCAGCGGAACGAAACAGATATACGAAAGCCCTCTTCAACAAAAGCAGTAAAACAACTAGCCACAGCAGAACGGTTGTTCCGTAAATCGTCGATGGCTACTGGTTTCGTGGATGGGAGGTAGGTAGCAACTTCCAATCCTGTCCTAAAAATGCTCCAAAATGGAAGAAAATATTCGGGGAAGGCAATTTATGGAATTGAGTTGCCAAATTGAGTCGCCTCGCCACAGACGGGAACGAGCTTTGCGATATAAGGTAACCACGCCATACAAGTTCGTCAGTAAGGTGGTTTGGTGGTTGGTGTGTGCGATGCACAGATCCAGCCACAGTAGTAGGTTGGCAGTAGCGAGGAGCTTACAACGAACAGAGGAACGAGCCGAACCTGAGTACACGTGTAAGGAATTTTCTCGCTATTCCTTACCGCGATCGTCCACATCGCATACAGCAGCAGCCGTTGTTCGCCCGTTACCGTTGTTCTCCCGTTACTACTAACGGGGCTTCGCCAACTTCGCGAGCACTGTTTCACCAAACCTCGCACTGCTGGAGCAGCCGCCTACGCTTCGGGACTAGCCCGAACCTCGCACCAGCGTAGCACTAGCTAGCTCGCACGCACCGCGTTACCGTTTGCACATTTTCGCGTATAAGTATTCGCTCATGCCTTCGCTCATATTTTGTACTCATTGAACACTCAAGTGCAATCCTCGCTTCCTCGATTCATTGCACCCGTAACACTTGGTTGTCAGAGCCACTTTCTTTCGGACCGCGCATCTCTGTCAGAATATATTTATGTACCGTCATGCCCTTCGGACCGACCCACGCCCCTGCAACCTTTCAAATGACCATGAACGAAGCCTTCCCCGCTTTTAGATAAGTGTGTCATCGTGTACCTCGACGACATACTGATTTACAGCCCAGACAAAGCACAACACCTACAGGACATTGAAGCAGTTTTTAAAATACAGAGTGAGAACCGCCTACTAACGAAAACATCGAAGTGTGAGTTCTTACAGGACAGACTGGAGTTTTTGGGACAAATTATTTCAGCTGAAGGAGTGGAAATAGACCCGAAGAAGATCGCGACGATTCAAGCGTGGCACACGCCGACAAACTTGAGCGAGTTGCAGAGCTTTTTGGGGTTCGTCAACTACGTGCGCCGGTTCGTCCCCGACGTGGCGAAGTTGACCTACCTGCTGAGGAAGGGGGTTGAGTATACGTGGGGGGAGAAAGAGCAGGCTGCCTTCTCGGCCCTCAAACAAATTTTTTGGACCAATCAGACGATGGAGCAGTTGATTGGGAGCAGCAGCTGCCGCTGATCGAGTTCGCCTACAACAACGTCACGTCAGCGACGATGCAGTAGTCCCCGTTTTACTTGAACTACGGGCAAAACCCAACAGTGCCCATGACGCCAAGTCCGGACAACCCAACGCCACGAGCACAGCAATTCGCCGAGATTCTGCAAGCTTCCTGCACCAGAGCCGCAGAAGCAATAAAAAAAGCCAACGTCATTGCTAAACGCAACGCTGACCGCCACCGTCGCCCAGTCACGTACTAGTCAGGGGATTACTTACTGCTCGACACACAGAACTTAAGACTGCCAGTCGTACCAAAATTACGACCGCGCTACTGTGGACCATTTCAAATCAGCCACATGATCACCCCAGTTACCGCCCACTTATTATTGCCGACAAACTGGTACATCAGCCCATCATTCCACATCAGCCTGCTTCGCCCTTACATCCCAAGCACGAGCCAACTGCCTCGTCACCGCCCGCCATCCATGACTCGCCCTGCATCAGAGCCGATCATAGAGCCCGAAAAAATTATGAGCCATCTGATTCGCCACCCCACAGGCATTAAGAGGATCGAGTTCCTCGTTCGCTGGAAGGACCGCACGCCAACTGAGGATAGTTGGGTGCCCCTGGCCAACATCGAAAACCACCCTGCCCTGCAAGTGTACTTGAGGAGCCGGGGTTTCCGCGATATACACGCACTCGTGTAGCGGAGGGGGCTTCTTGAAGGGGGGGGGAGGGGGGGGGGGGGGTAGTGTAAGGAATTTTCCTGCTATTCCTTACCTCGACCGTCCACATCGCGTACAGCAGCAGCCGTGTTCGCCCGTTACTGCTAACGGGGCTTCGCCAACTTTGCGCGCACTGTTCACCAAACCTCACACTGCTGGAGCAGTTGCCTACGCTTCGGGACTAGCCCGAACCTCGCGCCAGCGTAGCACTAGCTAGCTCGCACGCACCGCGTTACCGTTTGCACATTTTCGCGTATAAGTATTCGCTCATGCCTTCGCTCATATTTTGTACTCATTGAACACTCTAGTGAAATCCTCGCTACCTCGATTCATTGCACCCGTAACAATACGACATAATAAGCCACTAATAATGGATGGGGCAAAGTGCAATGTGGTAAACAATCTCACAGCAGTTTCATATGAATCCGTCCTAACATACAGTATCTAATTAAAGGAACACCTTAAGCACAAAATGTTAGTAGACACAAAAACTGTCAGAATAACAGTGCAAGAATGATTGGATTAGCAGAATGTTGGGGTACAAGTACTAACCCTAGAAGTGCTGTACCCCATAAGGAGTGCCCCACTATAGCCTACAAGTAAGATTGTACTTTGACACACCCCCATAGGCTAAGTGGGGGACAACAAGACGGTCACAAGACCAGTCAAGCAAGACAACAGAGCAAAGCAAAGCAAAGCTCAGGGTGGATCTCAAGGACACCATACAATCCGAGCACAAGGAAGTGGCCACAAGGCCAGTTCACATGCAGAGTAATAATAGCAAGGCAGTACATTGATCACAACCTAGCAAGAGTAAACAAGTAGGTATAAAGATATAAATGTATATATACATATATTAGTGTACAACAAGAGCAAGTCAAGCAACCAGCAGGTGAGGCAGAGTGGGCACAAGCCCAAGAGCAGTGCAGAAACGCTGATGATCACCAGACCCAAGGGCCTTGGTGAACACATCAGCAGTGTTGGCCGCGAGGCCACATAGGAAAGGCGGATCTGACGACGCTGCTGTAGCTCACGCACAAGGAAGTAGCGAAGAGCAATGTGCTTCATTCTGTGCTCCAGTCTCTGCTTGTGACACAAGGCAAGCTTGCCTTGTTGTCGACTTACAGATTTGGAGGAGAACGAGGCCGCTCCCCCAAGTCGGTCAGTAGGTAGGTCAGCCAGCGTAGCTCCTGTGCAGCCATGGCCCCAGCGTAGATCTCGGCCTCACAGCTGGAACCAAGCACAGAAGAAGAATGAGTGGACCTCCACGAGACAGAACCAGAGCCAAGACTAAAGGTGTAACCCTATGACGAACGCTGAGTTGCCTGGTCGTCGGCCCAAGAAGCATCGGAGTACCCTGTGAGTACCACTGAACCATGTCCTCCAAGCACGAGCCCCATGCCCGATGAAATGCACGAGTAACGCAGTACCCTCTTCGCAACATCCTAGTGCACCTTTCATTGTCTACCGGGAGCCACGTAGTGAGCCAGGAGGCTGAGAGGGTATGCGAGGTCAGGTCGTGTGCATGTCATCAGGTACATGATGCAACCCACAAGCTCTTGGTACGGACAACTCGGCTCTACGGACTCGTTCGAAGGTGGAGCTGAGAGCGAGTGGCCGGTAGACAGAGGAGTGGGCTGTGGCGAGGAGAACTGGAAGCCGAAGCGCTGGAGGACGTAGTGCACCATGTGTGACTAAGTCAGGGTGATGGGTGATCTGCAAGCCAAGATAGCTACGCAGCTCACCCATGTCAGTGCAGGTGTGTCTCTCCTGCAGCTCCGCCTTCATTAGGGCCAGTGCCTTAGTGTTAGTAGTAGCAATAACCAAGTCAGCGACGTACACTAGAACGTAGAACGGCGGCAAGGTAGTGTTGGTGCGTAGAAACAACGACGGGTCAGTAGAGGAAGGAGCAAACCCAAGAGCCGCAAGTGTAGTCCTCAGTGTGTCGTGCCACTCTCAGGGCGCCTGGCGGAGACCGTAGACTGGCCGCCAATGGCTCCACTGGGTACCCGCACGAAACGACCCAGTGAAGCTGGGTGGGCGGCGCAGCCAGATCTCCTCGTGAAGGCTGCGCTACAGGACAGCTGTGGAGAAGTCAAGGGAGTGCAACTCGTAGTCACGTTGTGCTGCAACGTGTAGCAGCACCCAAAGAGTAGTCATCTTCGGGGTGGGGGAGAAGGTATGGAAGAAGTCGACCCCCTGTTGCTGACTGAAGCCTCGAGCAACGTAACGCACCTTGAAGGTAGACGGAGAACCCGGCGGCCGCTTCACTCTGAAAATCCACATGCCATCGACTATGCTCGCCCCAGGAGGAGGAAACTCGTCGACGTAGGTGCCTGTGGACTTCCAGGAAGCCATCTCTGCATCCATGGCTGTCTGCCACTAAGAGGAGTACTCACCAGCGATCGCCTCAGCGTAAGAGCGCGGGGTAGGGGTGTCAAGTGCATCCAGGTCTCCCTCGGGGCAAAGCAGCATGGATGTGAAACGAGGTAAAGAGACACTCAAGGTCAAACTGTCTGTCCTCAAGTATGTCACTGCTAAGGGTAGGCTCACCCCCAACGGACGGAGGATAGATAGACTCAGACTCAATGACAAGACTCGCGACGTAGTCGAGAAGACTCCTAGCTGCAAATTCGACTAGCTCAGTGACTAGGGAAAACGCTGCAGTAGACTCAAGGTCAGGGTCTGTGACAACAATAGCAAGGAGACGAATGACTGTAGGACTGGCAGCACAAGCAAGGTCGGACTCGGG